TAATATATAACAAAATATGTCAATGATGCGTATAGCTAGTTGAAAATAATGAAAAAACATTCACTCCTGCCTTTTTTAAATAGTAGCACCAAGCTATCTCAAATTTCTTGTACCGTAACTTCACCTTTGTTAACTTTCTGATTAGTCTTTGATTTCTTTTTCCTGATATTGAGCAAAAACAAGTAATATTCTAATGATCCAGAACTCACTTACAATTTAGGAATTTTACTGCCAGATAAAAACATATTTTACACTAAAATCGTATTTAGAGTGTTCATGCAAATGGTGTGATAAATAAATGCACACTCCTAACTCGCATTGGTTAAATAAAAAATAAAATCATTGATACTGTCAAAAGTGGACTTGTATTGGAATATTTTACAGGCTGAATCATCTGAAGTACTGGAATAGAATTCAAACGTAACACGACAAAACATTTAGTTTAACAATAATCCAACTGTCTAAGAATATTTGGCCATAACCTTTGAGTGATTTGAGAGTCGAGATGAACTTAAATGACCAGCGAAATCACCCGATATGATCTCACTTGATTTTTCCACTAAAGTCATTCAAATAATGTGTGTGAAAAATTTTCATTGTTTCATAGAATTGTAACTCTGAAGTNGAAACAGACAATTCTAGGATACATTAGTTATTTGGCTTTCTACTTCTCCATCTTGGAACAAAAAATGCGGAAATCTTCCAAAAAAAGCAAAATTTGTGTTTTCTAGTGACATAAAGTTAGCCAAAATGGTACTGATGGAGTTTTACAAGACAAGTACACTATTGTAGATGATAATGTTCCTCGTAAGTAACATTACATAAGAATATTCATTTTTTTATTATTATGTTGTGCAGCATCCTTATGAATGATATCCGTTTGAATTCCATAACCGATGTTTGGAATACAAACTGAATGGGGAAAAGTTATTTTCGTATGATTCTAAAGGGTTTTTTCCAGTGTGTATCTGAAAAAAAAATCTCTGTACGATCTACAAATCTTAAAAAAAATTGTTATTGTAGTTATTATCTTTCTCTTTTTTCTTTGGAGGTAGCCCACATTTTTTTTCAATAATGGAAGAAGTAGAAAGCTGAGAAGCAAAGCTTTTTTGCCAAATTTTATCTATACTGACCATCAGTACTACGATATAACAATGGCCTGTTCTCGCTTCGTGACATTATGCCTAAATGTTTTGAATAGAAGATTTACAGGGTGTTTCAAATTCGATCCTCACCATTGGGATCTCGGAAATTGTGAAAGATACGAAGATGGTTAAATTGGGGCAAAGTTGCGGATCCACCTGACTAACGATATGTTGTTGAAAAAGTTCTGAAGTTCCTAGTATATCCGGAGATATCCGGAAAAAACAAATATTTCGGAAATTGGTTTTTATTTTTTTCTGACTTCATTTTTCGAAAGATTCGAAAATAAATTGCACTTTCACATTACCACTTTTTTCCTGCTACATAATGGTGTTTTCAAATTTACTATCCGACGTTTCGTCTTCCGGCCATCATCAACTTTATGTTTTCTTATATGCGCTACATTGAATTCTTTCTGATTTGGATAGAACCAGATTTTACCGTTTGAATGACGTATCATAAGTTATCATTCTTATTCGAAAAATTGAAGATATTAAAAAACATTAATTCTTATCATAATAGGCTTTGACTTTGATGTTTCTAAATTTGACTTTCAATTTGTTACACTCAATGACATTTTGTTATTGCACAAGTCATTGAATTTTTGCCGAAAAATTGGTTTCACACTGGCTTTACAAATACGGTAGAAACAGTGTTAGGACATCGGAAATGTATTCAAACTTGTATCCCGAAAGACGACAACCACATCGAACTATGTTCAAGTTATTGGATCAAAATCTCACAGAGTTTGGTTCGTTTGAATGAATAAATACGGAGGCACAATTAAAATTTGATAAATGTATGGAACGCCGTTTTACTTTTTATTGTCACAAATATTCATTCCTCAATTTATTCAACTAACAATGTATTTGTTAGAATTTAATTGATTCTTGCATTTGTTCGATACATTAAAAACGATTGTTCCCAAAATTTGTTCTATTTTAAATGACACTTGATTTAAAATGTTACATGAATTAATTTGTTTGATGAAAAGTTGCGAACAGTTATAATATAGATTCATTGTTTGAAATTTTTGGAAGTAAATGTTTGTCATATATACTTTTTTTGTAACTATCGAATAATTTACTACAATTTTCCTTCTTCGAATATTATTCACTGCGCGATTAATTTCTCTCCTCCTCAATCTTCTGTACTCTCAAACAATGCTGTGTTGAGGGTCCTCAATATTTTGATATTCCCTCTTACCATAAACTCTATTTTTCAGTGTATCCCATAAGAATGTGTCCATAACACTTAAATCTGGAAACCTTGCTGGCCACCTCAACGGCTCATTATTCCCTATCCATTTATCATCAAACCTTTCAGTCAGGTAATTAGATATTCGTCTGGTAGTGTGTGGTGGAGCACCATCATGTTGAAACCAGATGTTTTTATAGTTAGCCAAAGGTAGATCATCCAAATAGTCTTCGAAAATCGACATTAAAAACTGGTTTCTCCATTTAGAATTCCGTCGAATAAATGAGGACCCAAAATTTCATCTTTGTAAATTCCTGCCCACACGTTTACTAAATCGCATTTGAGGTCGAATTTTTCGGAACTGCCTGGGGTTGTTTATGCTCCAAATGTGTTTGTTAATTTGGTTGAATATCCCACAATTCATAAAAGTGCTTTCATCGGTCCAAATTACATTTTCCAGGAAAACAAGAAAATCAGGTATTCTTATTAGCCAATTACAAAATTCTAATCTTCGTTTGAGATCAGCTGGATGCAATTTTTGAGATATGTGTATTTTGTAATATTTTAAACCGCTTGTTTTGAGATGTCTCCAAGCACTTGTATGACAAATATTCATTTCGGAGGAAATTTGACGTGTAGATTTCCTCAGGTTCATGTTTATGTGCAAATTAATAATTTTTATTAAAAAGGACACGATGTCTAACCTACTTCATACATATCCCATTTATCAAATTTTCTTTAGTTACCTGGTTCATTCTGTCTCCGTATTTTTTCGTCGGCTTTTCAAATGAACCAAACTCGGTGAGATTTTCATCCAATAACATAGTTCGATGTGGTTGTCGTCTTTCGGGATACAAGTTTAAATACATTTTCGATATCCTAACATTGTTAGATCATGCGCAGGTAAATGCGAAATTGAAACACCCTGTATATTTAACCATTAGTTGATATTAAGTATTGAGATTTCAATGAAATTAGTATATTTTGTTGAACAAACCTGTTAAGAAAGATTTCAACATTTTTTCTTCAATAACGGAAAAGTAGATAGCCGAAAAGATTTTTTCTGAACTTTATCAATAACTACCATCAAAACAACGATATGTTATAGACCTGATCTCGTTTCGCGACACAATGATAGGAGAACTCCGAAATGGTTTGACCAGGATAACATTGATTATATTCAAGGCCAATCAAAAATATTTGATCATTATGACAATGATTGGAAGCCCAAAATGATAGAAAAAAACACCATTTATATTGTGTACTATTGTGGCCATGTTCCGCTATCAATTTTGTGAACTCAACAGAAGATCTTCATTCCACCACTAGTTGATATTAAGTATTAAGCTTTCAATGAAATCAGTATATTTCGTTGAACAAACAGTTTTTTTCAAAACTCATCCCACTTCTCTTCTCTTCGAAATTTTTCTATGGTGAATAAAGAAATATCTCTTTTGATAGGCCTTTGTTTGAAAATTCACCCCTCTCAACTGTGTATTATATTTTTGGTAGGTTTAGCAGATTTGTTTTGTATGATAGCTCTGTATCATATATCTCATCTTTCTGAAAGGGATCATCTATTCTAATTATACGATTTCTATGCTAACTTCGTTATGGTTTCACTTCCAGTTTCAAAAGGTACTCATTTACAATATATGTTTTCACCATGTATCATTTCGATGGATATCAATAAATAAACGAACAATAAGATACTTGATTATCATTAAGTGGTCTATACAATTTTTACGATAACAAATAATATCAATAATAAGATAACTTGGAGACATATAAAGAACAGCAAGTCAGACATGAACAAAGACAACAAATCAGGGGTCCACAAAATAACATATGGATGTGCCCAAAATGTTTAAATTGGAAGTACTTCGCAAAATTTGGGAACGAGAATATCTGGACAAAAATTAAACTTGCTGGAATCTCTGGAACACAATAAACGGAAACATTCAAATTTCTTTTTAAACGACCAACAAGAAGTTATTCACTCACCATTCTCTATTTAAATATGATATTTAAATTGAAAAGATAATATTTTCAGAAGAAATCAGTTTTTGGGAAAAAATATTTTTGGTTTTCTACTTCTCCATTATCAAACAAAAATGTGGAAAACTTTCAAAGAAAGAAAATGAATGCAATAAAAACTATTCATAACTATGCAAACAGAAAGAGAAGATCATTTCGAAACAACTGCTTCCATACAAAAATCACTTTTTGGCATTCAGTATATACTACAAACGTTTGTTATGGAACTGAAAGAGATCTCATTCATAGGAACACTGCACCAAATAATATATGAGAGAATACTGATATAAAATGTCACTTACATGGAATACTATCATCCACAATGGTGTAGTTCGAAGTTTTGTGACAAGACCCTTGTCTCATCACCTCATCAGCATCGGTTTCAAGAATATTACATCTAAAAAAATCTGATCTAGTGACGATGAGAGTGCCTATCCACATTCAAAAATTTAGTTAAATCCAACCATAAATATTTCATTTGAATTGAAAACAAAATAGTTTTAAATGAGATCAGTTTTTTGAAAGAAAAGTCATTGTCATCTTCTACTTTGGAAATTCCCAACCTTTGTTTAATGTCGTAGAAGTACAAACCCAAATAACTTCCTTCCTGATTATGGTGTCTTCCATCATTCATGCTATGATTTACCATTTATCTTTTTTAAATTGCATACTTCTTTCAGAGTTGCAGGCAACAATGTTTCTTCAGAGCTGTTACTACAGTAATGAGCTGGCGAAATATACTATAGATTATTACTTCACAGTGAAGACTTTATGTCCTGAAATTTTTGGAAACCGGAATCCTAGGGATCCATTGATACAACAAGCTATAAACTGTGTGTAAGTACAAAATTTTCATTTCCTTCAATTTTTTTCTGAAATGGCTTATTCATTGGTTCATCAAAGGGTCCTGTAGAATCATGTTCACTTCGAAATTAATTTTCAATAATTCATGCCTGAAAAAACGTTCATTCTATCTGTCGATGTCGGGAGGAACAGTGTATCATTATGCCGGAAAATATAATCACCTCCCGGTCCATCAATATGTATAGGAAAATCACCCAATCCAACAGAAAACCTACTAACAACCAAGAATGCTTCGAAAAAGGGCATAATGGAAATATGTAAAATATTCAATACAAACTATTTGAAGTTGAATCAATCAGTCGAGTGCAAACGATGTCAGAAAATTATAGTATTCACCAACGACGAAAAGGTAGACTTGATTTTTCTCTATTCCAAATGCCACCGAAATGCAAACCAAACTATACAAATATTTGGGAAAGAACGTTTTTGGCTTTCTACTACTCCATCTTGATACAAAAAAGAATGAGGGAATCTTCCAAAGAAAGGAAGGAAGTAATCAATTTGAAAATAAGTAACCCTATACATGGATGTGTAGATCATGCAAAGAAGCAACTTTCAGACACAAACTGAAAGAAAGTTCTCCTGAAACAGCTACTTTCATATACACATTGAATTACACGAAAGAAAAAAAATCTTTCGAAACAAATACTTCTATATGAACACTGAATTATACAGAAGATACTTTTCTCTACTCAGTTTGTATTTCAAACATTCGTTGTGGAATAAAAATCAGATATCATTCACATGAGTTCTACTTTAAATGAATTAGTAGAAAGCCAAAAACTTTCTTTCCCAAAAATTAATCACTCCTAAAAATGTAACCCCTTCAATTCATATACAAATATATTCTGAGCAATTCCCGAGGCGCGTAATACCAAACAGGTTCTACTTCAGGAAACTGGAACGAAATTAACGATAATTTGGTTCAATTCATAAATCTCGTACATGGTCAAATTATGTAACTGTTTGTAAAGAAAATGTTGCTTTGATATGTCAATTGTAAAAATAACATCGATGAAGAAGTTTCCGTCCGAGAAACTGAAGAACTTTCAGGTGTGTCGAAACGTGCCGGTGAAAAAAATACAAATATCGCCTGTTCAAAATTATACAAATATATATCAAACAAATTATGCAGAACCCATAAGCCCCTACTCATAAAAACATAATTTTAATCTTTGGCAATATATTATTTGCTTCAATATTCAGTTATTGTTATAGTGTAAAATATATTTTTCATTGCATTTTCTGTGATATGATATAGGTACATTGTTGAAAATAAATCACAGTTTGTCTATTATGTTTTCAGATTGATTACGCCTCTTCCAAAATTGACGCCTCAGGATGAATTAGTTATTTTCATTAAAATGATGGACTTCAACCCAGATAATTACAATTTTGCTACACAAATCAAGTGTTTCGATATGATTACCCTACTTCATTTGCACAAAAATGGGCCTCCAAAGGGTGTTTTGATAATTATGGACATGAAAGGAGTCGTTTTTGGGCATTTTCTCAAAATTGGTGTAGTGGTTATGAAGAAATTTTTATATTATCTCCAGGTAAATTCCATAAAATTGGTCAAATCATTGGATAAGAAAGATAACAAAATACATTTACTTGATTCAATTAAATAAAAATGTAGAACTTGCAACACTTATCATCTTCAGGCTCAACTAGTTTTAACTATTCACTAGATAACTTTTGCCTTCCCAGTCGCTGTTGCACTTATATTGTCAATGAATAAACCGTTCTCAAAAAGGCAGATGGAGTATCTCTCGGCATTCACGATTACTTTTAGTATATTCTAGAATGACAATGGATAAATATAATGATCCTTTTAGATCGAAAATACTTTATATAATTCTATACACGTAAAAAACTATGCAGGGTGTTCCAAAATAAGTGGGCATCACTGCCAACTCCGGTATTATTGATGCTAAGAATTCGGTTAAATGGGCAAACCAGTAGCATTTTTAATGGACTGTCGTGTTTTCAAAATATTTCATAAAATGATATTTTTTTTAAATGGAACACCCTATACTCCATAAGAATGTAGGCTTTCACAGCTGACATAATTATTTTGAATGATTTCCGGGTTTTGCCGTGGTCTTCTTTGGTTATAATCTCCAAACGTTTCGACTTCAATTACCGCAGTCATCTTCAATCGCGTGGTCGAAGTACTCTTCTTGACACGTCAACTGACACGTCAGTTAGAAACCATCCCAAATAAATACCCCATATTTCATCATGCATTTGTATTCGTAAAAACATTCTCAACAACAGAGCTCATATCACCTTTCTTATGTGGACTTATGTGGAAATATTTATTTATTTCACTAGTACAAAAAATGTCTTCGTTTTGGCAAATAAATTCTCATGATTGTCCAAACACCTAATTTTGGTACGTATACGAATGTTAATATTTTATTACTGAAAGCAAAAATAAAAAATTGCACTGGGATTTGAACAAGTGAAACCCGTGATCATCATGTCGTACCACTCACTTGACACCACTGAGCTATTTGGTATTTATTTACAGAATTTTAAAGCCATTTCACTATAGCCGTATATATTTTGTAAATCAAAATATATAGACCGGGAGCCCGTGACAGAAATTTTGACCCCATTTTTTACCGTCTGCTTTTTCCAGAGGACATATTTACAGCCACAAGCAACAGTATTATGAGAACATGGGAAAAAACGAATTTTTTTCCCATGTTACACATACCTAAACATTAACTCTAGTCTGCATAAAAAAAGAGCTTCTTTGACCAACATTTTACCGTCTGCCATTCATGCGACCGGAAGGCTCTTAGATGTCCACATGAAAGTCGATTTTCCGCTACAAAATATTGGTTTTCATTGTGAAAGGTTAAGAATTTCAGAATAAATATTAAACTTCATCCGATATAATCTCATTCGTGCGTTATGGAACTAATATACTAATAACCGATTCTAATTACCTGTAACAAAAGCAATTTATCTTGTTTATTGCGTGACTGATGACTGCTGTATCTTATGTTTTTTCAATCCACTCTCATTTTCATATATAATTGTTGAAGTGGATACACGTACTGGTTATGATTTGAAGCATTTGAAAACAAGAAAAATGCCAATCAAGGAAATAGAAGTTGTGGCAGTTTACGAAAATGATAAATGTTTAAAAAGGAATGATGTCCAGGGCTTAATAGAATGGATTGGAAAACAACCCCATTTACCAGAATTAACAGGTGAGTGAACAAGATTTTTTTTATGAATCTTCACTCTGAAATTTAATTTTGTTCCGCACAAGAAAATATATCTTTTTCGAGAGGAGGTTTGCCCTGAAATTCCCACACGATTTTGATATCTTATATTATTACCATGAAGCAGGTAAACATATCGTGAATTGTTGTCATTGGAAGACATCAAGTTGTTTTGTTCAAATTTGCAAGAATATTTAGAGCTCAGTTGGGCAGTTACCCAAAAAACGAAATTGCGAACTTATTCAGATATCAAATTGTTAGCCATGCAACCAACCATTTATAGGGCAGAAAGAGAATGTGGAGAGGTATCCTTGCATTAATCTGCCTGAAACTTTAAGATCTCATGTTTTACCACAAAACAGGGTTAATAGTCTGGTAGGAAAAGCGCTAAAGATTCAATTGGAATACCTTATCGAAAGCTTAGGGTCTCGTTGATGCAAAAGCCAGGAATTGTTCTTCCACAATACCGGACGTTTTCTTTGTATTGCTTCTCGCAAGCGGCGCATAACTTCAAAATAATACTCTTATTCACGACCATGTGGTAAAAACTTCTGATGTACTTCGCCACGGTAATCGAAAAGAACAGTGAGCAAAACCTTGCTCTTGATCGTGGTTTTTTCGGTTCGGATCTCCTAGGCTCTTCCATTGTGACGATTGGACATTGGTTTCGATGTCATAACCACATACCCATGATTCGTCACCAGTTATGACCCTTTTGAGCAAATCTGGATTGCCATTTACTTCATTCAACAATTCCTGAGCGATGCTCATGCGACAGTTTTCCTGGTTAAAATTCAGCAATTTTGGAACAGACACGCTTTATGCCCAAAATTTCCGAAAAAATTGCATGGCATAAGCCAATCGATATGCCGACATTCTCAGTAACTTCTATAATAGTGACTCAACAATTTTCTTCACTGTCTCAACATTTTCATCAGTAATTGATGTGCTGGGGCATCCTAAGCAAGCGTCGTCATTCACATCTTCTCGACCTTCTGTGAAAAGCTTGAACCGCTTGTTAACATTTTTCTGACTCATTTTCTACAGAAGATCTTATGCAAATTATTTGATCCATGTTTTTCGATAGCAGAAAATCGTCGAACACGCAAAACACTTCCTACTTTTATGCCTGTCATCAACAAAGTAAACATGCTAAACGAAATTTGAACATTCACTTCATTTTTTGACCAGTACACGTATATCGAAATTCCTTCTTTAAGGAGAATTATTTTCGCGTGTGACTCATAATCTTGCAACCTGGAAACTCCAACACCCTATCCAATTATTATTATTAACATTCAGGTACGTTAAGTTGAGAGAAGTGAAAAGTTTTCAAAGTGATTTAGTGTACCTGATATTTGGATTTGGTGTATCTGTCATTTTTACATAAAATACATTGTTTCAGGAAGGGATGCCGATAAGGTTGAAGAGTTTACAATTTTTCAATATTGTCCCATTCATGGATAAACTATTGGCCCTAATGAAACCTTTCATGAAAAAAGAATTGTTTGATTCGGTGAGTTCCCATTGAATATTCGAGATTATCAATCTTCATTGTCACTAGAAGTGACAAATAGTAGCGACTTTACTGAATATTACTGGAGTTTTCTCCCAACACCAAACCGTTATTTTTTCAACACCTCGATACGTGTTTCGATCACCAATTGACCATCTTCAAGAGAAAGAGGTTGATCTTCCTTGAACTATTTTATTTAAAAATTTTATGAAGAATACAGCTGTATTTCATTATTATCACTAACACCTGAAGGGTGGGGTAGCAAAAATGTTTCTTCTTCATGCAGTAGAGGTAGAGGCGGTGGGGAGCTGCCCGCGGTGTTATTGGGTTGCAGTTTCAAAGAAGTACAGACAATGTATGCCCGACTATAGTCCATTCGGTATTGTCTGAGAGTTAAATATTTTCAAGAATACCAACATGTCGGTACATCAAAGAAAGCATCATGATTATGTTGAGACAACTGTCTCAAGCATGTGGCACTGCAATCCATCCACAAAGTCACTGAGATATTTCTACCCGCTATGCACTTTGAGGGCGCCGCTCACGAGGCATTAAAATAGTGACTTGCGTCAAGGAACGTCAAAAGAAGCGGCCCACGCTTTTTGTCATATTGCGTTTAATATAGTATTATTAGGCGTAGAACTGAGGGTATTAACATAAATTTTCCAATGATATAGTCTGTATGATGCGAAGATAATTGAAATGTCGTAAAAACTAATTTTGTTTAAATATTTCATCCTGAGGATAATTTATATTTGAGTTTTTTATTTAGAATTGTTATCTTCTACAGATCTATACATTTAAAAATAAATACAAATGTAGAAAGAGCAAAAAATGACTGCATTTAATGAATTAGCTTTTTGAAAAAAAATCTAATTTGTCAGTAACTTGAATTCATGGAATTTTGCATGTAAAAATGAATATGTATCATCTGGTGACTTTTAAAAGACTCCATTTTCTTAATCCAACCTATTTGAATCAATAGTTAAACAATTTGTTGGGTAATTCTTAACTGGATGAATCAATTTCATTATTATTGATGACAACTGAAATTATTTTTTCTGATAATGAATCTATGCGATCATCCAGATCCCAGCAGGTCCCTACTTCGATTCTGATTGTTTTGTGGATACATTTTCCCAAGCTTCTTGGTCGACTGTTTACTGTATAAGCATTTCTTTACTTCACACAGTTTCAAGGTCTTGTTATTCCTTGAGCTCAAACCAACTCTATTGGATTCAATCCAGAGTGATAAGGTGGCAACCAAAGAACCGTCATTTCTTCGCCAACCGAATTTTGACTTATGACGTTTAGCCAAGTTGAGGAGCTCCGCTTTCAACATGATTAATTCGAAAGGAACAGCTTTCATTTGTAACCACTCAGTAATATTTGCCTTCCTCCAACACGATGTCGGCAGCTTCTCGACTCATCTACTGTGGTAACTTGCGTTATCCATTACTACTACGAATCCCTGCGAAAGTTTTTCAGGTATGTTTTCAAACCATTCTTCGAATATTGTGGCATCCATTTCTTGATATTAATCTCCAATATTTTTCGATTCAAACACTATCAATCCATCTTTCACGAATCCTTCACTGCTGCCTATGTGAGTGATGATCAAACGACGACCTTCTCCAACTGGAAATTTGAAACCAGTCGACCAACCTTCCATGAAGGCTTGTATCCCACTTTTGATGATCTGGTCTTGCCAAACCTTCGAGACAGTATGACTCTCATTGACCCATGTTTCATCCAAATAAAAATAGATTTACCCAGTGTTCTGGCTTTCTTTATTTCTCTTAAATAGTTTCTTCATTATTCTACAATCTCTGATTTTTATAGAAAAATCAGAACATGTTAATAGACATGCTCTTTCTGCATTTCATTAGTTCGATCTTCCATTGTCTAATATGATATAAATTTGAATATACTAATGAAAAATAAATCAATTTGGTATTTTTATGGTACAAAATGTATTATTTTGAGTTAAATTCCAATTATAAGAGATATGTTACTTCTAATAAATGTTTCAATATATTGTCTACCTAATGAATGTTCATCTAGAATGAGACCAAGAAATTACGCAGTATGAGAAAAAGTATTCAATATTTTCATTATGGAATTCAATTGGATCTTTTAAATCAATCGATTTAGACCTATTTGATATAAACATATACGAAAATGTCTGAAAATTCAGTGACATTTTATGGCAATGAAGAGATAATGATATTTGATCAAGGTCATTTGAAATAATAATATTAATTTCTTGCACATTATTTTCATTGTAAATTGAAGTGGTGTCATTAGCGAACATTTGTAATTCACCAAATCAAATACCAAAGGGCTTGGCTCTAGAGATAATGAATGACATATTGTTCTGATGTAATAACTTGTTTTTTCAGATGGTACTACATACCGATTTAGATTCTGTATATAAGTATATACCAAGGGATAATTTGCCGCAGGAATACGGTGGATCTTGTGAATCTCTGCAGATTTTACAAGGTGAAAATTGTATTACACAATATTATCCTGAAAAAATTGATTTACAATTATTTTTCAGAAATATATAAAGCGCAGATTAATGATAATGCAGATTTTTTCAAATTCCAAGATTCCCAAGTAGTAAATGAGTCGAAAAGACCTGGGAAGCCCAAAAGTGTTAGTGATGTGTTTGGAGTAGAAGGGACCTTCAAAAAATTGGAAGTTGATTGAGTAGAAAATAACTTGTGTGATTGTAAAATGATTTTTTATAATGTATATGAATATGTTTTTAAATTGGATTTGTAATTCGATATACATGTACTTACATATCAATATAACGAAGTATTTTGGTGTTATACGAGTATAAATATATTATTTCTATTTCCGTAAAATCCGACTCTCTCGTTTTTTTTAAATGACACGGCGGCCACTCCCTTACTCAATATGATCTATCTTGGTCTTTGGCCAATTCTATTTGTTTTTATTTTATTTTGTGTGATCGAAATGTTCGTAACCAGTCTCAAGTGTAATAAATATTTATAATTATATTTCGTGTCTTTACTATTGAAGACACTCCTGAAGAAGCCATTGTATGGCGAAACATGTGTTGAGTTTTTGTAAAACTGTTTGGTGAATATCTCACAATAACGTGTTTTTTTGTTTGTTCATCAGGTCTATTCAAATATTCTTTAAAATTAAAAATTAATGTACTCAAAGTTCAAGATAATATTTCACCTAAGGCAGGAAATTCGCTAGGAGTTCTTTCGGAGGTGTCTTCAGAAATATTTGATTTTACGGAAAAAAAAACAGAAAAACTCAAACTAAAACTTCAAGAAAAAAGAAAAATGATTGAAAATTCAAGTTTCCAAAATTTTCAAAGAGTTTGTTCGAAATAATTAAATACATATTTTTTCAAAAGAGTATTTTCTGAAAAACTGAGCTTTCAGAAAAATTTAATGTGCAAGGTAGTATTGCGATAAGAAATAGTATGGTTATCTGTGTCGTCAGTGTCTCTTAATCAGCAGAATACTTTCTGTGAAACTGTCTATAGAAAAGAGACAAGTGTTCAATCTCCCTTTGATATTGTAAGCTAACTCATGTTATATGTTGTTTGTATAGTTTGGGTTTCTAATCAGACAGATTGCCATTTTTCATATATGTGAGCATAATTATAATTTGACCTTCACGAATTATTAAAATGTGTAGAGGCCTGTCCAAATGTCTTGTTTGAAATTGTGTTTCAAAATACTGAGAAGCTGCTTATGCTTTTTCAGTTATGACTTTTGTGCCAAGACATGTTGCCATTAATTTGACATCATTATTCGATGATACAGGCAGTGTCTTGTCCCATGGCGATGGTATGTATGAATTTGGCACATTCACCTTCTTCACCATGTACTGGAAACTCGATAACTACAATCATCTTCCTTTTGAAACTTCGATTTTCGATAAATCTCGTTCTGTATAAATGATATTGATAGCCCCAATCAGGGCTCCCATTTATCACTCATTGTAACTGATCGCCTTGTGGAGCCTCGTTCATCTTTGACATGCAACGATTGAGTTGTCTGTTGATTCCATAGATGGCGTCTTCGTAAGTGAAGATGTCGACTTTACTCACCCAGGCTCGTCCTCCAAGAAAACTTGAGTCCAGCAACGCATCTGTGGTTCAGCCCAGCACCACTGATGACTCTTATGGCGGGTCAAAACAGCGCTATCTCGTGTGGAGTGGAAGGATTTTCAAGACCATTTCCGAAATTTCTCCTGGCAAGATGTTTGTTTCAGCTCTAATGATCCATTAACTTGTGCTTTTGAAGTCACAGAAGTTATTCTATAATCCATGGATGCATATATTGATTTTTCAATGAAACGAACTTTAACGGCAAACGTTGTTTCAAAAAAGATTGCGAGCAAGCTGTCGCCTCCAAAAGTCTCGTCTACCGACAGTGATGCAAAAATATAAGTGCCGAAAATAGAACTAGGTTTGTTAATGCTCGCAACAGCTGCAAACGTAGGATAAATGAAAACAAAGAACTTCACAATCAGAGAATTAGGAATAAACTGCTTGCCAATCCCGACGGATCTAGATCCTTCTGGTCGGTAGCTAAAGCTGTTAATCAGAACTTCACAGAATACACAATTCTACCTCTAACGTCCCACTCCACAGTCAACTTTCTGGGAAAAGGACCACCCACTATTCCCTCACTAGAATCCACAATGCCGAAAATTACTTTTGGCGAATTTTGAAACAGCTCAATATCAACAGGCCTTTGATCGTGTGTGGCATGAGGGTTTGCTTGCCAAACTTCGATGCTATGACTTGTCGGATCATTTTCGTATATGGCTCTCCAGCTTCCTGAAAGAACGTTCCCTGCACATCTTCACCGGCAGCAGGAGGTTGCATATCTTGATGAGGATCCAGAGGTGATTTCCAATTGTGGTGAAAGTAACCAGGTTCAATTCAAGGCCACCATCGATTTTCTTCGAAATGATAAATGTCTCCAAACCGGATGTAACAATGTCAGGACAGACAATTCCGCTTTTGCTTCGATAATTTTGATGGGGGTTAAAATAGACACCGATATGTCTCGGTACAATCATGTCGCTGGAATTGCCAAAGCTTCTTCTCAAAAGTTTGGAACATCGTTCCGAACCAGAAAACTGCACACACCTCATCTTTCGATGATTCATAAACCTCAGATCAGACCTTCTTTAGAGTATTGTTCTCATGTATGGAGCTCGGCCTCTAAGCATACCCTGAAGCTGCTGGATTCCATCCTGAAAAGAGTAATCCGCCGTATTGGAAACACGAACATCATTTGCAACCTTTATAGTCTGGAACATCGAATAAAGGTTGGAGATTTTTCTTTCTTTCATAGATACTTTCACGGAGGGTGTTCTAGTGACTTGGCACTTTTTATTCCACCAAGAGCGGTACATATCAGAAATACGCGACGATCTGTAACTACTCATCGTTTTAAAGTTCAACTCAGTACACCTCGAACTTCAGTGTTGAAGAACTCTTCCATTTGAAGAACTGCGTTTATGTGGAATAAACTTCCTGAGAACGTTTTTCCAAATGAGAGATTCAAATCCAACTTGAATCGGTCAGGTACCGCTCTTAGAGTGCCTCAAATATTTTCCTATAGTGCTTGTGTTTTGTCCTAGAAAAATCCAAATGCATTGTGTTTGAGCTCTAGTTTCCAACTAGTTGCCTTGCAGTGAAAGACATTGGACGAATCTCGACGGCGGACCGATCCCCTTGGGGAACGTTCTTTATCTTTAATATTGGGTTATTTGACGATACAATAAATGGCATCTTCATAAGGAAGGATGTCGTCGACCTCACGAACATTCAATACATAGACTGAAAAATAAAATTTATCCCTGGACCATAATTCATGAAATCGGTCGGTAGCCAAGCGGTTCGGTGTGGGTGCTTTGTTCACATACCCGAATTGACTGCCGTGTTGGTCGGTGGTTCAAGCCCTAGTCTGAACGATCGATCTTCACATGCTATCGTCCGACCCGTGTTAGGAATCACACGTTAAAAGGTAAGACCTCGTTAATCCTTAGCTCGCACAAGTTTCGACTTCTGAGGGTTGTCGTTCGTAGAGGTGCGACAGCTGGTTAACGGAAAAACAGATTTTAAAACAGATTTTCAATCCTGCCACTGATATTTCTAATATATTTTCCTATGAAACTTTGAACTTGAGAAGTAAAATCAACATCCGCCCTATTCACTTTCTACCCCTTCAAGTATTTATCTTAGCTAAATTATTTTTCGATTATGTTTTGTTCAGCATACTCTTCTAGTACACCTTTAACCAAGAAAGAATTTTCTTTTGGATTTCATTTGTCCAATCTCCGAAGGCCCTTAAAGGGGTGCTCGGAAATATATTTTGAATAGAGTGGAATCATAAATCCATTCGATTAACAATGGTCTATGCCTGCATGTGTGAAGATATATCTTTCATTAGGGCTGAGATAAATTCTTCACCCGAGTCTCAATATATTTGACATCTTTGTTTTTCTATTACATTGGAATTTATAATTCCTAGGTAATAAAACAATAAAAATAAAGTAAAAATAAAAGTAAGTAAAATAAAATTTTACCTAGAAATCCCCAGATAGTACAATTGGTAAACATAGGGTGTTTCATTTTTTACCTGTGGGTCTTTAAAAGAATTGTCTTTTACTTTCACTTGGCATTACAGGCTCGTTATGGGTGTTGTAAGTAATTATTAATTCTGATTTCATATAAGAAAACTGAACTATGAAACGATTTCTGATATCCTCTTCTACTTCAAAGGATTGTGCTAAAAAACCTATATTAACGACCAATCGTAAATACGATGAAAGCTTCTTACAGTACGGTTTTATAGTGAAGCCAGGGACTGATACCAGTGACATTCCTATTCCTCAATGTGTAGTATGTCTTGAAACACTTTCGAAGCAATCCATGAATCCATCTTTACTGATGCGACATCAAAATACTAAGCACCCTAATTTGATTGGTAAGCCCATTGAATGTTTTAAAGGAAAATCTAAAATTGTAAAGAAAGAAACCCAACGTTTGACAAAGTCAATACTGTCAATACTGATACTAACTTGATAAAGGCGTCATACCTTGCTAGTTTAAGAATTGCAAAAGATTGAAAGCCTCACACAATAGGTGAGACGCTTTTACTGCCGGCCGCTGTGGATATTATTCAAGCCGTGTTAGGAGAAAAGGCAGCCAAAGAAATTTAAAAAAACACTGTCAAATAACACAGTAAAAAGACAAATTGACGATATGTCTAATAATATTGAAGAACAACTGTCTTTAAAACTCCAAGAATGCTCTTATTTTGCACTTCAAGTTGACGAAAGCACTGATGTTACAAACATGACGAAGCTACTTGTTTCCGTGCGATTTGATTAGAATGAAGAGGTGATAGAAGAGTTTTTTTTCTGCAAACCACTTGAATCAAATACCACAGCGGAACTCAGCGGAATAATTGATGAATATGTGCTCAAAGTAGGCATTCCCTGGTCCAAGTGTATTGGCTTGTGTACCGATGGGGCAAAAGCTATGTCAGGAAAATTGACAGGGCTATCAGCAAAAATGAAGGGAGTTGCTACTGAATGCAAAAGTACGCATTGTGTCATCCATCGAGAAGCATTAGCTGCTAAAATTTTGCCGGAAAATTTCAACTCTGTTTTTTATCAGATGCTGTGAAAGTTATTAACTTCATAAAGGCTAGGGCTCTAAACACAAGATTATTCTCCGTGATGTGTGAAGAAATGGGCGGCAAGTTCAAAACTTTACTCCTGCATACAGAAGTGATGTAGTTATCTCGCGGGAAATTTTTGAACCGTCTCTTTGAACTGAGATCAGAAGTTTTCATGTTTTTA